GGTGCACAAAGTCCACATATGCCTCGTCAATAACCACAATGCCTTTAAACTGTGAGTCAAGCACCCGGCGCACGTCTTCTTCGCGCAAATACGTGCCTGTTGGATTGCCTGGCGAGCAAAGCCAGATGATCTTGATGGAGGGGTTGCTGATTGCAGCACTAATCACAGCATCCACATCAAGCTGGAAAGCTCCGTCTTCAACAATAAGGGGCACTTTTACGACATCCACATCGTTTACACTTGCAACAACATTGTACATGCCATATGTCGGTGGTGTGATAAGAATCGCATCTTTTCCTGGTACGCAGGTTATGCGAACAAGCATATCGATTACTTCATCGCTTCCAACACCCAAAAATACATTGTCAATGCTTGGGATACTCGGGCGAAGCCTTAAAATTCGCTGTTTGACCTCACGTCCAAGTGGATCGGGGTATCTGTGCAGACTGAGACCGTTAGCACCAACGCTGCTGTGCTGCTCCTCGCTATCAGTGGCAGCCTTGCTTACCTCGGCCTGAAGTGCTGGGCCATAGCTGTTCTCATTTGCATCCAGCAAGATTCCTTCACTGTAGTCGTCTCTGGCGCAACGGTAGGGTTCGAGCTTGAGAATGTTTGGACGGATAACACGACGGATATCAAACGCCGAGGAAGCAGGCATTGCGTAGGGCTGGCAGTATTGACAGAGAAAATATAAAGTAGGTTTTAAAGATATGGAAGTAGAAGCAGGAAAGAGATACAGGGCAATGTGTGCTGGCAGATAGAAGCAGTACAACAAAAGGTCTCGGAATCAGCAAAGATGACACACTAGTTTACGGTGCGCACGTGCGTGATTTGCTAGACCCCATACATTTTTGTAGAAGGCAAAACAAATAAAATACACCCTTGCATGGTTGCCACCGCCACCGTAAGCTTTTTAACCCACTTTTTAGCAACTCATCAATCAAAAGCTAATCCAACCCAATTCCAACCCTCTTCACATGGGCGAAACTTTAAGACGCGGACGGGAGCGGGTTCCTGGCATGTGCATAAAATGCAAGGTTACAAAGCCAAGCGTTACAATTCGCCAGAGCTTGTATTGCAAAGAGTGCTTCATAAAGACATCGATCGTAAAGTTTCGCACCGGACAGAGCCGCCTACGTAAAGATACACCTCATTTACAGACAAAAGCGCTAGTGGCATTCTCTGGAGGAGCTACGTCGAGTGCAATGCTCAAGCTGGTTGTTGACCATCAAAACAGTGTACGGAAGGACGTAGATAGCACACCAGCATATACAGGCATTGTTATTGGACACATTGACGAAACGTGTCTCTTTCCAGAAGCACCAGAGGAGGAAATACGCGCAATCTCTGGAGAAAGTGGGCTCTTATACAAGACAGTGGGGGTGGAGGAGGTATTTACACTTGCAGGCGGACGGCGGACAGCGCTTATTGAAATTGTGCAGGCGAGCATTGCACCAGGAGCAGAAAGAGACCAGTTCTGCGCACGGCTTGTGCGACCCGCAAGCTCGGCATCGCACAAGGAGTATTTAAAGGCTTTGTTTTCTAGTCTAGGCTCGACTACTGACAGAGAAGCCATGCTGGACGTGATCAAGAGATTCTTGATACTGCAGTTAGCGCGCGAGACAGGATGTGGAGTGGTGCTGATGGGAGACTCTGGGACACGCATTGCAACAAAGACAGTGGCACTGACTAGTCGCGGACGCGGGTTTAGCCTGCCTATCGAGGTAGCAGCCAAATCACAGTGGTTTGGGGACGTGAGTGTATGGCGGCCAATGCGAGACTTTGTAGCAAAGGAAATTGTCTTTTTCAATTATTGGACCGGCCAGAGAAGCGCTGTTGTGCCTACATTCACCACTGGCGAGGCGAGACTGGGATCTATTGATCGTCTCGCAGAGGCGTTTATTGCCGAGCTTGATCAAGATTTTTCCTCGACGGTTCCTACCGTCTGCCGGACCATGCAGAAGCTTGAGCCACACGATGAGGCACTTTCGGCACTGCCATGCCTTATATGCGGTATGCCCGCGGATGACAACGCACAGGCGTGGAGGAATAGACTCACAATAAGTAGCAATGACGCCGAGGACGGCAGTATTCGCAGCTCTCCGTCGGCGACACTACCCGAGTCGTCACTTTTGGCTTCTGACAATACGTCATCTCTGCTTGAGATTGCACGCGCAGTGTGCTATGCATGTCAGAGCCTGCTGCACCATGCAAGCCCGGGGATGGTCCTTCCCGAATTCTGTGTAGAGCGTCTTGGAGCTCAAGATGTTTCAGGTCGCAGCGCACAGGGGACAACGGGAGCACAGCGCGAGACACTCCGCAAGCAAATAGACGAATTTCTTCTTAAAGATGAAGATGGCGCCTGTGATAACAGCGCAGTATACTAGATGAGTTTCTTTTTACTATATAACCTAACTAATGATAGACAGATCGACCTGGGCGTTTTCATCAGTCTCAATATCCAGCTCGCTGAACAGATCACTCATCTTGCCTGGGTACCCCTCGCCAATCGCGTCTGCAATGTTCTTGAACATGCGCTTCCGAGATTTCCAGTGCTTAACCATCGTCGAGTGCTCAGCCTCGATCTTAGCCTTCTCCTGAGGGGAGATCACCTCCCCAGATCTTAGCTGAACCAGCCGCTCTTCGTTGCTCTTGGCCTAGTAGCTCCACAATAAGACAAGTGTACATTAGCAATTAGGCATATGAATCTGCAGGCTACTCTTATCTGTACACAAACTTACTTCTACACTTAGCTTGGCAATGCGCTCTCGTATCTGGTCATCCGTCAGTGTACTTGTCAGTCCTTGTAACCGCGAACTTAACACCTTGTTTTCACTTTTTAGCTGCACCACCTGCTGCTCCAGCTCCTTGATAGTCTCTTCTTCTTCCTCGGCCTCTTCAGCTCCAGGAACCTCAATTGTATTCTGCGGAGCATAAAACACCTGTTGTTTGCCGTTCGCTTTGCGCTGAAGTCGCTCCTCATCGGCAAGGTCGTTCAGTATCTTCTTTGCTTGCGCAGGTGATACCAGTCCATGAAGCTGACTCGATATGTCGTTGGCGCTGTATGGCCGGTTCACCTTTATCAGGTAGTCGAGGACCGCATTCTCTATACCCAAAATAAATACTTAATAGAGATATGTGACTATTGTTTAGCTACGTACACTGAAGACGGCGTAACGTCCTTGCTAGTGAATGCCTTTACTCCTGGTCAACTTGAATTACCTTCAGCGCTCGAGTCCTTGGCCTTTTTTGGCGGCATTTCTCCAATAAAAGTGTACAAGTGAATTTACAGAACAACAACAGCTCAAACGCATTTATTGGAAGAAAGATACAAACGCTGGAACAACACAAGCGCGACAACTTTTAGACACGAGTGGCTGCGCATCAAAGCGTAATCAGCAGATTTGCTCTGATCATCAGCAGCGTACCAGGCAAAGCAGCTTGGGTGGCTCAGTGGCCAAAAACGCAGACAACGGCGTGCCGAATCTGCTAGACAGCATTTGAGTGTGCTACCACCGTATTCGACCATGCAAGCCGCCGATGCATGCAAGGGTAGCCTCATGGCAACCGCGGCTGATCCCCCACTCATGCGGGATGCATGATGGAAGATCAGCGACACGCGGAACATCCCCCAAGCCAGAATGGGCACGCAGCGCCGGGCCTGCACAGAGGTGAATTCAACAGATGGAGGAGGAATCAGGGAAGCGAGGCGGCCCGGTGCAAGAACACAGTGCATGCAGGCGTCTATTTTGGGCCTCGGCTGTGAGACAGACCACTACGCATGCTGTCCAAAGAATCTCCCCCCCCCGGCAATCACGAACAATGGAGGCATATGCGCAGGCACCGCAGCATTCAAGAGTCCGGCAGATGTGGGCATCAGAGCCGCGTGGGTGGCGCGGCCAGCATCGTGGACTTCTATTCCAAGCACAAAGCCTGTATGCGCGTGACTGCAACTTCTCGGAACGCTGTCACTTAAGAGCATTTTGCATATCCCCTGCCAATCCTCCCCACCTGCAATTCCCTCCAGTCTGCGCTTCCCGGATGAAACAATGCCTGCCTTCACATCGCCCAACGCGATAACGAACGCTGCCAAGCCCGCTGCTGCTCCTGTTCTTGATGCCGCTGCTCGCCAGTACATAAATAGCCCCTCCCTTGCCGCTGCTGTCTGGCCCCCCCCCACCCGCTCACTTGCATTTTCCTTTTTCCACACGCACGCCACTCTCTGCATCTTTCTTTCCATCGTCTTCTGTCAACCATCTCCACTGCTTTTATTCGCTTTCCAATGGATATCCACAAAATCATAACCCTCGAACAACCCTGCGTTACATTTCCCCAGGCCCTGTACAGGTACGCGTCTCCCACCACAACTTCCCCATCAATTCCATCTCTTGCCAAAAATTCAACTCCCAATCATCCATTTTACCTGCTAATAACAATTCCCTACTTGCTTCTTGTTACTTAGAATCTTGGCCGAAGGCCACACGTGGATAGAGTGGAACAGAGACGGCACTCGTTTTCGCTATAATGATCCAGACCGCCTCATGCGCGAGCTACAATCGCTAGGCTTCAAGGCCCAGGACTCTGCTTCTCTAAGCAAAAACTTCAACGACTATGGCTTCAAGCGCCTAAGTGATGCCCGCAAATCTCGCTATGACCCCTGGCGGACAAACTGGACTGTCTTTGCCCACCAGTTTTTCCTGCTACATGATCGGGAGAGCTCAGATGCAATCCAGCGCCGTCGCATCCGTCGTCCACGCAATCAAATCAAAAAAGCTTCTCCTGCATCTGATGAATGCATCTGGTGATTTCCACCGTTAAATAATTGCATGCACAAATACCAGCTGGCTTGGTTCTCCATCGACGTCTGTACAGTCATCACGCGCTTCCTTATTCAACGCATCTTCTTAAATCATAACAATATACGGAGATCCACTACCATAAATGCATATAAAAAAATTATACTTATAGCAAAAAAAAAAAAAAATAACGCTAAATAAAATTGCGGCGACCGGGAATCGAACCCGGGACTAATGCTTGGGAAGCATCCATTTTACCACTGAACTACCACCGCCTAATAGTGTTGTCGGACTGTGGAAACAGCGCCGACAAAACAGACGGAAACAGAAAAGATCAAAGAAAAGGGAGAAAACAGAGGAATCAGGAGTGAGACTAAAATGTGTTTATTGAAATATCGTCGTCAAGGAGTCTCAGTTATCCTCGGCATCTTGCTTAGCAACGACCCTTTTTATAGTCGTTCTAAGGCAAGGTTAAAAGAAAGAGAAAATAGGAAAAAGAGTAAGAAAATGGTAGATGTTGGTTACACAACATCTAACTTATTGCGATCGACGGTTTGCGGGAATTACTACGGGAATTCCGTTCTCTGCTACAAAGGAACGGTCGGTCGTCGCAGAGTTAGAAAGGGGACGGTCCCGATCTACGGCTTGTGAGATCGGCGGTGTAGATGATCGGTTTGATGTTGCGCGCGCGGGGTTTGATGGTTCGGATGGTTCACCCGGCGGCTCGGTCAGCTCGGTCGGCTCAGTCGGAGTAGCGTGTTCTGTTGGTTCACCAACAATAGTAAAAAATTTACGTGGTTAAACCTGGTTCCAGTTGGCATACCAGGCAAAATATCAAATAAATTTTATTATCCTTTCTATATATAATCTGTTTTACACATTTTGTTAGCTTTTGTCTGACCATCTGTACATAGTCAACGCTAGGTAAAATGTGTGATTGCGCAATATCCAACAAATTTCTGTCACTTTAAAGACATTTAATTGTTTATGAAACTAAGAATTAGTATAGCAACATTACCTAACATATATGATTGTTTAGATATATTGGATGTGTTTTGAGACTCAAAGCACTTCCAAAAAAAAAACAGATTATTAGGGAAAAATAACTTGGCACGGTTTTCTCTACTGTATGAATGATAACTGTTTTGAGCCCAAAGTGCAATGGGATCTTGCTCCTGTCTCTTCTACCGACCCCTTCCTCAATCCGTATCTCAATTTGAGGCATTGGAATCGTGATATTGCCGCTGTTTTAAACTTTTGGCACATCCTATCTAGTCTGCGTCAGGTAAATAAAATCACCATGCGTTTCAAGTATGAGAATGCTGTATATCCTGCTGATCAGCTGCAGAAACACACCAAGCGCCGCAGGAAGAGCACCAAGCATGTTACAACTAAAGCGAGCTAAAGGATATTTAAATCTCGCAGAGACCACATTTATATGGTCTCTGATAAATGCTATGTGGCTATAGGCCGCAACATAGCATTTATCAAATGCTAAGATAGGGAAATCTCGCTAATTGATTGCGTGTGACAAAGCAGCCTAAAACTCAGAAATCACAACAACAACATAGAAAATTAGATCAACATGACGCGATTAATGTAGTGGACGCGATATTCTCTACATACTTGTTGGTTGGGATCGTAAATTTGCTGTCTTTTCTTTTCAGAACTGTGCTACGATTGTATTTGTACTTTTGGTTTTCTCCGCTGCTTGATTTGGTTTTGACGTTTTTTTTTTTTTACGAACAACAGTACTCCATTTCCTTATTTTTATACTATAGTCACAACAATGGCAGACGCGAGCCGGAGCTCTCCGCATCACAAGAAAAAGTCTGCCTCTATCTTGGGCTTTTTTGGCAAATCGGATGCAAAGGGTACGGGTTTGTAATTCAGTTGTGCATTGCAGTTTTCCACAAAGTTCCGAAACACAAAGCGAGAGGAAATACTAATCTTGTCAGCGAGTTGGGCTGCACATTGCTGTAGGAACATCCACAAAAGAAGTGAGCTCACTGGCGAAAACATGTACACATAGTGAGTATTTCATATTAGCGCAGTGTCAGGGAGGAGGAAGCTATATTATTGATTGTAACACCAGTATAACTAACCACAATGCGCTTCAAGTTACGCTGATGTAGACAGGCCAATGGTGGCCATCGAGGAGCACACAAACACTGGGAACCCATCTTTTTCTATAATTGGTACAGCAGAAAAACCGACGCCCGTCGAAGGTACGCCTATTGCTTTCAGAAACGGCAAGATTGTCTTTCATGAAAAAAAACTCAATCTCGAGCGGCACCCGTCTGTTGTTGCAGCAGTGTTTGGATTTCATCAACATATTGCTCAGCTTCAGCGTGAAAGTGGAGCTGGGCTCCCGCTGCAAAACATTTCTCGCGAACACTGGTCTCTGGTGGCGATGCTGATTCAAGAGAGAGACGTGACCATTTCGGCCTTGGTTAGAGCTATCGAGTCTCAACTCTGCCCTGTAGTGTTTGGCGAGGATAGTACCAGCAATGCTGACATTCTTGCTGCCGGTGCTGTAGAAGGGGCAATTATGCAGATTGCTGAGAATAGGAATTATGGCGTTCCACTCGGCGAACTGCATTGCAGTAGCATTGATGAGGTTCCACAGGTAAGCCGACAACACGTTACAATGTTGACAATATTTGTGTTATTATTTGCGCGGACTTGCACATGCTCATTATTATATTATTATATTTATTATAAGGATTATGTAGGGTTTGTCGATAAATCGTTGGGAGGTCAAGGACATGGATCTTTTACCCCAGGATGTTAGAGAAGTAGTGAGAAAACGCAGGGGACGTCGCGAACAGACACATTTAGGGTGTATACAGTGGTTCCGATCACTTGAAACCCCAAAGCGCGATCAGATATTGAGTGGTGCACTAAAGAAACTTAAAGGTGGCTCGCAGTCTAGTATAGCAAGGGGGAGCAGCAGTGCTAGCGCCAATACAGGCACTAGCACATCAAGCCCTGGTCACATTGGCGATGGAAGCGGTGTGATAGATGGCACTTCGGCTTTCACGTCACCTAAGAAGCCACAAACCGCAACCCGTGGACAGCGAAGCTTGCAGACGTTCTTTGCGACAGAGAAACCGCCTTCTTCAGTGTCTCAACCTAACAAGAAAAAGGATTACTACAGATCGACATTTCTACCATTTAATGTTAGGGACTGCGCCCAAGTGTATCAGTTCCGGCCATCTGGGAGCTTTGATCCTGATGAAATAGATAGGGCATTGATGTCTGCATTGTCTGATGATGGCACCCACAGTGGCCGGTTGCAAACCACTGAGCTTTTGTCTATGTTTGTATCTTTATCGCAGCCAGCGAGGACAAGAGCGAAGACAAAGGCGAAAGTTTCTGTGTGCGATGGCATGGACCTCGACGAAGTTGAGCTTTGCTTAATGCGGCTGCGAATGATGCCGATAAAGCTGATTCAGTTTCATGCCAATCGCCGTCCTGCGTACTTTGGCACATGTAGCAAATCTGTACAACATGTCAGTGGCCGACGGCCGTTTGTCCAGGACACAAAATTGCTAGATTATGGTATTGACAGCGACGCTGAGTGGGAGGCGGAAGACGAGGACGGAGAAGAGCTTCGGAGCGAAGATGAGGAGGACGAAGAGGACGAAGATGATGAGGACTTTGACGAAGAAAGTGGATTTGTAGTTGGCGAGGGTGATGCTCTGACGCGGCTGGATGGACTTACTGACGACTCTGATGTAGACAAATCAGACTATAACTCTGAAGATGAAGGCATGGAAGAGATAAATCCAGATGAGGAGGTGTTATGTGTGAGCGACATGGAAGTGGACGGCGCACCTACAGTCGCCGTTCGCCAGACAGGAAATCGTTTGTCTGGACCCAAAAAGTCAACGCGTAAGTCTGAACATGCCCCGCAGCTGCAGCGGCGCCGAAAAGTGGTTCCTTTGACACCAGTTGTTGTTGGGCTGGCATTTGAAAAAGCGGATTTGGAACAGGACAGCACCATGAATATTTGCAACAGTGATAGTGAGTCCCAGTCCCACTTTGCTGAAGAGTCGGCCAAAACAACAAGTCCTCTAGATAGTCTGGCTGTCATTGCAATTGACACATCCCTGCCGTTGTGTATCAGCACTGATCCAGATGACATGTGGGAGGACAAAAAAGGAGGCGGTGTTGGAGGTGAAGTCTGTTGCGGCACCGACGGATCAGGAATGGGCGCACGCAGGGGAAAGCTTATTACTGAGCAGGATTTGGGGGCACTGGTAAGCGTCGTGCACGAGTCACCGCTGGGCGTCTCGCGGCTTGTTGAGGAGCTCAAGCAAGCTATTCCAGATGCAACAAAGGCGCAGATTGAACGGCTGATCCATGAACATGCAAAGAAGGAGAAGCGGCCAGCCACTACACGCTTATTGTGGTATGTAAATGCGGAACTAGTGAGCAAGGCGCATGGGCTTGGGATATCGGATAGTGTACCACCATCAACTGAACCGAGTAGCTCTGAATTTTTCGAGAGCGCAGCCAAACGCCAGCGAGTCTCTGATAATCTTAAGCGTAGTGATGGAGATGTTTAGCACCTGCCACGCCCCATACAAATTACGCACTGATATTGCTACTAGTATCAATTCCTTCTTGAGCGACATTTGTGGCAAGATAGTTAATACGTTTGCTTTTTATTTATTTATCGTAACTGGGTGTTTGTTTATCTTGCAATGTATCCACTCGGCGTTTCAACCAATTACATACGTACTCCACTTCCACAACTCGGCAATGCACATAAATCAAAAAACCCATTAACATCATCAAAAGAACAAGTGGCCAAGGGCTCCGAAGTGGTCTTTCCTGGCCCATTTAGTCCTGCATATAGTACTGTTGACACTATTCCATTGGACCAAGCTGAGGATGATTATCAGTTGGTATTGCGCAGTATTCGACAGACCAAGAAGGACTGCGTTTTTGTCGGGAAAAAAAGTACCGATATTGCACATAACACAGATAGCGTTGAAGACACAGAGATAGTTTCTAGTCCCTCTGCATCCAGCAGTTATTACAGTGATGCTAGCGCTTAGGATTGTTTGTTTTTGCGACACTTAGGACGGTGGCCGCCAACTACACACACCAATCGCGCACACACTATTGCATTTTGCATTGTGAGAGTCATACTGTTGTAGTGGGTGCTAACTGTCACGGGAAATATCGCATAATCTATGTTTAATTATAGTTAACTATTTTAGTACAGCTCGCTAAACTGGCAAGGGCTTGACGGGCTATAGAT